TATGTCTCTGAAGATGAATCCGCGACGGATTTCGAAACATCAGGCGAATAAAAATATTTTCCCAGCGATCGAGTCGTCTTCTACTTCTCAAATGGTAGACTGATTTAACAAATAGATGCTAGGGTTCGCGTTCGAAGTGTTTGCATGAGTAAAGGAGAAGGTTGATGGGGCAACTTGTACAGGAGTTAATTTTCAGAGATAACAGCAGCAACAAAAAGGTGACTCTAGTAGAGAGTGCAGACAATCAACTACCGATGGCTATCGTCTGCAGCTGAATGCGTAGGACTCTGTACGCTGGCGCCAAATCGGTACATCAATTGATTGGGTTCGCGTCTGTGGGCCATTACAATAAACAAATTGTTTCGGTGCTCGACCTGTCTTTTCCTTCCTCCAGACTGATTTAACTCCGATTTTCTTCTTTTTTCCTAAAGTCGTTCTCAATGAATTTAACTTTTAGGCACATAGTAGACAAGAGAGACTGGAATGGCCATTCCTGGCTTATTATTATTCGCCATCAGCCAGTCATACCGCATATCAACTGGTGCACTATACCAGACTCGAACTCGCGACCTCTTCGGTCAGAGTCTAACGCTCTTACCATTGAGTTGCGAGCTTTCTGTCTTACCGGTTTAGGTCGGGAGATATTAATACTGGCTGATGATGGCTAATAAGCCAGAAACGACCATTGCAGACTTTTTTTACCTTTGCCGGCAATACTATCTGCCTAGATTACTAGCCGCTGCGGTTGCTGTCGACCCGAAAAATGAGACCCAAGGCAGAGCGGGACGAGTGAGTCCCGTTAGCGCTCTGTGAACGTTCATTAACGAGCAAATCTGAGGTGTTGAAACGTGATACAGGGATGGCTCCGATAACTTGAACTTATTGTTAACTACAAAGAAGAACTCGATGTAACTGAAACAACTGCCTTATAAAGCTGTTTTTCTAGCGATTGCAACAACAACCTGAGACGCACATATTACTCTTTAATTCGAGGTTTTTTACTCTAATGCTGTAAGCAGATGATTTCTTTTTTACTTTTCTACCGCCTTTGGTGTGAGAGTAAAAAATCACTGATAATTATGAACCACATTTAACACCAAACTCAGGATAATTAACTTTCAAGGAAAGAAGTTAAGATCACGAATGAGAAATAAAACTTGGCACATACTTGTTTATGTATACGGTGGCTTAAATAGCTATCTACTTTTCACTTTAATCAGAGAATATTCAAAGATGAAGGCTGTTTTTTTCTTTTTAGTCCTAATGCATCATAGAATTCAGAGTATCTGAATAGTACCCGTGCCGACAGAAAGTGCTCAACTGAGACACCCCCATTTTAATTAAGTGCGCATTTTCTTGTGGAATGTTTTAGAATTCTGTTAAAGCTGACTATGTTCTGCAAATATTCCAATGTTTATTTTTAAAAGTCAGTTTTGGCAAACATATTCTCGGCAAATCTTCATCAGGCCAGTGACTTTTCAAAACAATTAAATTTTGAACGTCAGAAAATTATTGATTTTTCTACCTGTTTAAACTTAAATTGTTTTGCAAAGTTACTGGCCTGATGAAGATTTGCCGAAAACATGTCTGCTAAAACTAACTTTTCAAAAACTGACTATCCTGCAGCATTCGTTTCGTCAAATTTTCCCTGCTATATGTGATCCACAGAAAACAACCTTAGTTTGAAACAGTCTTTGTCCGCATGTTTTAGCGCATTCAGGCAACGAGCTTCGGCTTTGCCATTAAAACTTTGCCGAATACTATAGTCTGCTTAAGGGAGAGAATCAGCTAATGCTATCTTTTTTCAGGCCATTTGGAGACCCACACTTTCTCTTCGATTGCCATGTAATTAAAAAGTGGGCACATTCATATTTGACACGCAGATACCCAGTTTTTGAATAGCTTATGTGTCTTTGATCTCGGATATTACTAATCAAGCTGCAAATGACAAGGTTGGTAGTTGTAAAGCAATTTGCTAACCAATACTTATGTAGGAGAGGGATATTTGTTCCCTCCCGTTTTCATATTTGAGGGAACTTAAATTCTTTAGCAGCTATCATATTTCACTTCGCTTGTAATATCTTAAAACAAAAGCGCCTAGCCCTGGTGATTAATCACATACCTTTTTACCTCTAGCTTCCTTGTACGTAAGCTGCAGCCCCGTCGATCGGGCCATAGTGCAGCTTTCTCCACCCAAACTCAGTGAGACCCCGTGCCCCACTGTGGCCTACGAGGGTTCCCCCCTGAGTCTCAAATGTCCCCTGCCCGCGTCTGCATTTGACAACTACAACCAAACGGACTCGGTGCAAATGCAGTGGTTTCGCGACGGTGTCCAACTGTACGACTCCGGGCCAAGGCCCTCCTCCTACTTCAGTACAAGCAACGCGCAGTTTCAGGACGGCAACACGGTTTGGCGAGCAGGCATAGCGGACGGTCGTTTGACGCTGAGTACTGATCGGGTGCGGAGCGTAGATGCCGGCTGTTACTCTTGCCGCGTTTTCATTGGCGACGA